TCAGCTACTCGGGAGGCTGAGGCAGGAGAATGGCGGGAACCCGGGAGGCGGAGCTTGCAGTGAGCCGAGATCTGGCCACTGCACCCCAGCCTGGGCGACAGAGCGAGACTCCGCCTCAAAAAAAAAAAAAAAAAAAAAAAGTAAAAATATTATCATTGCAGCAATATGATAACAGATACCAAAGTCTAGATCAAAGCAATGTTTTGAGTTTACCTTTTCCATTAAAGTTAATCATGCCAAGAGTCATTCTAAATGTCTATCAAAAATTCATGACTACTTTTTATAGGATGGAAAAACATTTCTGTAGCATAAAATTATGAATGTATTTGATGCTTTCTCTTTGCCCTTCCAGAACCATCCAATTCTTTTCTATCAAGATATGGGCTTTTACAGGCTGAACTTACTGGACTAGATCCACCTGGCTCCCCTGGCCTCTGGCTTCCACTTGAGTTTAGTCAATGGTTGGCACTAGCAAAAGATCACAGAGTCAGGAGAGAAAGAGATTCATATATTTATTCTCTCTTCTGATTCCCTTCCTACTGGAAAGTGGCCAAGCTTCTACACTAAAGCCCAGAGCTCTGGTTGGAGACCCTCTCCCATAGCTACAAACAAGCTAGTGATCTCTTTACAGATTCCAATATCTGCTGTTCCCTTTGCTCCTGCAGGCCTAAAGGTGCTAAGATCTCCCTGCTCTTACTGGTCCCAAAGGAATCTTTGCCATTCCTTATGGGTTACCCTGAACACTGACTATAGTTTCTAACTAGCCCTTTGAGCTCTAACCAGCTCATTAGGCTCTCTTTATTTTCTTCATTGGAATGTGCCATCTTGTTTTTGGTGGTGTAGTTGGCTACAGAGCTACTAAATGATGATGGCCCCTCAGAGAACTATCACTAATCTGCCTTCAGTAGAAGGGTGGCATCTTTCTTCCTGACCACAAAATCATAAACACAAAAACATCCACAGGTATCACAGGATCAGCTAAACATAAGTACAAAACAATGATTCCAATATTTTTCTTTACTTTTTATATTATTTTGTATATATTTTAGCCAATTCCCTTGGCATTAAAAAAAGAGTTCCTTAGAGATAATTGTTCAATGGAATTTATTGGATATTTATAAAATAACCCTAGAAATCAACTAGATAGCCTTCCCATTTTAGAGATCGACACAAAGAAATCTGAAAATGAATGTCACTCATCTAAACTCATAAAGCCAGATGGCAAAAGTAGAAACGAAAATTAAGTTTCCAAATTCCAATCTAATGGGCATCTAATAAACCATGCTATCTCCTCGGAACTGGTTTTTCAAGTAAATACTACTTCGAGCATGTATTGCTGCAAATGCTGCTCTCCACATTAAGTATATGTGCCTTATAATATTAAACATACTTAAGCATATGTGACATATGCTTTGACGGTAACATCACAATGAACAAACAAATGCCACACCCTAAGCAGCCAGCCTGGAGATGAGATTTCAATTGTAGGTACTGACCAAAGAAAGGTCCTGTTTTTGCCATGGCACCCTGGAGCCCAGCAAATAGCACCTTTTGGAAATTGCAAAAGCTGAAACTGAATAGTTCAGCTATTTCTAAATGATCACATTAATTTTGTTCATATTTTACAGTAGTTTTATTTCAGTGTTTTAATTACCAGATAAATTCTTCTACATGATCATTAAGGTTCCACAGCTTCCTAAATTTCTGTGTTTCATGACGGATTGTCAGTCCCTTCCTGGGTTATACAATTACCAGCAAAGCTCCTTGACGCAGGCTCATTTCTCATCCACAAACTCAGCCAAATATTACATGCCATATGTCAATATTTCTGCTTAGATGTCCTCAATGTATTTTCAAATTATATTTATTTGGAAACTAAAGTGACTATCAGACAACATTTCGGAAATATCTCCTTTCCTCTGGGCTTTATGCCCACGTTTATAGATGTCCCTCCATAATCGAACACAGAGGGGAAAATGTACTTTTTATGGCAGTAATTTTTTTCTCTTCCCCCCTCCATTTACTCAGCTGGGAAGAGGAAATGAAAAAATATGAGCAATGGAGTTGAACATACTATAAACCACATCTATTTTTGGCAGGCTGCAGACCTATGCACTGTCTTGACAGTGGTGTGGGACAAACTCACTGCTTCCGTTTGCTTTTTGCTTATGCTGGGAATTCATATAGCAGATTTCTCTAAAGTGACAACAAAGTATACAAGGACAATATAGAGAATAAAGTAAATGCCAACAGCAGGGTGAACCCAAACTAATCAATTAACACTGCTATACTTTTTCAGCCTTTTTTTTTTTTTTTTCTCTTTTAACAGGACTAAGCTTGCCTTGGGTTAAATCACATAGATTTTAACTCCATGTACCATCTCAAAGTTAGAAGCAAGAATATTCTGTGAACATCTGAGGGCCAGTCCGTGACAGCTCTAACCGAGAAGAGGGTATTGTTCAGAAGCAAAAGAAGGTAACTCTGAGGAAGTTCTTGGCCCCTAAAAACAGATACTTGAACAAAAGATGAAGGAAATCATTTTGACACTGTGATACATCTATTTGGCATTTAGAAAAATCAAATATCCATATTGTTTACTCAATTATCAACTTTGGTATTCTTCCAATAAGATGGAAAAAAGTAAATAGAGGACACATAGCTCTTACTAGAAAAAGAAAAAAAAAAAAATCTGTCCTGACGCCTAAAGAGAACAGTGCCATGAGCAGGCAGGGGTGTGAGAGGGAAGACCAGAGGGGGCCATGAGGAAATCTCATCTGCTTCCCAGGATGGACTGGATCCAGGTCTGTGCTCAGAGAAAGAGAAAAATGTACCTCTTTTGTTTACTCCTTGCAACCAAATTGGGCCAGAACTCAAGGGAGCACCATTAAGTGCAACTTTTCAGCTTCAAGAACAGTGAAATAAACTTCTGTAAACCAACATTTGAACCTAACAACTATGCTAAGCACCGCTTCTATGGTAAACGAGTTCAGAATGGTGTACAAATTAACTTTGGGAACAAAACCTTTTGTAGGTAAGAGACTTTCTATAGAGAAGCAAATGAAAAATAAACAAATAAAGATTATCCCAGGAACCAATTTTCCTACGTCTGGGAAAATCTATAATGTTGTAGAAAGAGACAAGTTAAAATTTAAAACTAACCTGAGACACCACATCATACCTCTTAGGTAAAGTAATTTTAGCATTCTTTTTGCCACATATTAATTTAACCCCACTGTTTAATAACACTATGTGCATAATTACATTTTAATTTATGTAACCTATTAACTCATTTATTGGTGGGTAGTAAGGCTAGAGAACTGAGGCTTGGAAAAAATAAGTTGTTTAAATGGGCTAATCACTTAAAGTGTGATTAACACTTCTGATTTTAGTTATACCATTATTATTTATTAGACTGACAAATCACTGATTGCCTGATTTCCCAATTTTAAAGTGTTTGGGGACTACCCTAAAATTACCCTTTTCATTATTTATTAATTCACTCATGTGTTTATTGTCTGCTTCCCCTGACTAGAGTATAAGTTCCATGAGAGGACACTCTTCTATACTGTTTACAATGGTATCTTTAGTCTCTAGATTAGTACAGGGTACAGAGTAGTTGTTGAGGAAATAGATGAATGAAAAAAAGTAATAAAATAATTTTTCTATATTCATCTTATTCAAAAGGTGCAAAAGTTAAAGCTACTAATGGGATATTTGAATCTGTGGTTAATTCATTAGATAAAATAGAATAATCTTAAATAATAGCCTATATTACCATTTTACTATGGGCAAAAGCTGTTATAAACTTCATGGCAAGATCCTAATTATTTCCAAATATCTTTCAGTTATCAGTAAGTCATTAGCTTGTAAATTCACTACTAGTGTGGTAACTATCTCAGTCTCTACCAAAAAATACAGCTTCAATAATACTATCGTCAATATAATTATATAAGGCACATACTAAGGAAAACAATTCTAAGCCATGAAGTTGATAGCTAAAGGCCAACACTATTTAATAGTAGAAAGCTCTTGGCCTGAGAGTCAAGAAACCAAGATTCTAGTCTAAACATTTACTTACCAGTTTTGGGAACTTGTATCAACCGTTTGACCTTGCTGAGCTAAAGTGTCGTCTGTAAAATGTCAAAATTTAATATGATTTCCAAGACCTATTCTAGCTTTAAAAATCTATCAGAGCAATAAATTGTTAGCTACGGGGAAAGTACATAAATACATAATAATAATAGATAACACATATGGTTCTTACTAAGTGGCAGACATTCTTCCAAGCACCTAACATCGATTAACACACTAAATCTTCACAAGCGAGCCTAGGAGATAGTTCTATCCCCTTTACTTTAAAGAAGGGGAAACTGAGGCCTAGACAGGTTAGATGACGTGCTCAAGGGGCCTAAAGAAAAGACATGTACAGCCAAAGACCTCAAGTGGCCTGCCTTCTGTCCATCACCCTCATGGCTCACCTCTTGTGACATTCCTGGCTCAGGTTGTGCTGAACTTCCCTCTGGACCCAGAGAACACAAACTTATTCCCATCCAGGAACCTTTGCGTGATTTGTTCCCTCTGCCTTAAGGGTTTCTTCCCTAGATCTTTGCACATCTGGGTCCCTCTCATTATCCCAGTTTCATATCAAAGATCAGACACCTACCTTGACCCCTCTAACCAAAGTCGTTACTATACATGGCCACCTTTCTTTTTATCCAGTGCATCCACAACTATCTGAAACTATCTCATTTAGTTGTTTATTAGTTCATTCATTAGTTCTCTTTCTCCCTTGACTAGAGCATAAGTTCCGCAGGGGCATGGATTTTGTAATACTTACCTCAGTATTCCCAGTACCTCGAATCATACAGGGCATTTTCCTGCAGGATAAATGGATGAGTGAGTGAATGATAACCTAATAGAAATGATTTTCCTATATTCATCTTAGTTATTCTAAAAGTGTGAGTGCTAAAAGAACTCACAGCATACATTGAATTTCAGATGTGCCATTTAAGTAAGAAATACTTTCAGACAAAGGAGAAATGAGTTTACTGACGATATTTAGTACCAGCATTTCCAGAATTTCTGCTTTACTGTCAACTCTTATCAAAATAATTATGTAAACATTTCATTTTTTTATTAAATGAGTGTGTTCATTTCAGAGAAGAGTTCAGATCTTTCACTAAATCACCAAAGAAACTAGTAACAATATGAGTCATCAAAAACATTAAGCTCACAGAATCCAATACCTCCAAGAAGGCTTAAATTTTATATTAAAATTTATATGCTTCAAGTGCATAGCACAAGTGATGTGCAGAAACAGAAGCAGTAGCAACCATGTTTCATGTCCTCCCTGGGGAAGGTGGTAAAATACTATTTTGTCTGCACAGAAAACGCCTCTAGCGAGAACAGTGAGCAAATTTTGAGTGAGGGCTAACTGTATATGGGGGCAGCTTACAGAACACAGGGGCCCCTAGACTCAGAGGACATGTAACATTGAAAGGTCAAAGCCTTGACTGCTCTCAAGATTCTCATGCTCACATTCATAAATTATTGAAAATAGCTTTTAAAAATCCATGCAATATACTAAAAAAAGATAGAATAAAAACTAAAAATATGATAAATGGAATCAAGAAAAAATGACAATGGAAGAAGTTTGTTGAAGTCAAGATTGAAGTGAATACACAGGATGCCTAGGGATCTGGAAACCTGCTAGAAGAAGCACATATATTGATGCTAGATTTTCTGGGATCCAGGGCAAGGAGGGCCTTGGAGGACAGAGCCAGGAAGTCCAGGATTCAGAATGGTCCAATCAGTTACATTATTTGTAGCATGGATGAGAGGGTAAAATGTGGCCCAGGACAGGCATTACTATCTCTGAAATCTAAGAGAATTTTCTCCCATGGGTCTTCATAAAAATGATAATAAGTGATGTGACAAATTTAACAACACTCTTACACTCAATGCAGCAATGTGTTTCCTAGACTGTTTCTTATAAAGTCACTCACTGTAGGCTGAGGCACTGCACCAAAGAAGCAATTCAATAAAGGCAGTTGTCGAGGGCCAACAGCAATTTTCAGTCAATTAATGCATCTTCTTGTTGGACTACATGTCCATCCAGTGATCATGTGTGTGTGTATTTGTGTGTGTGTGTGTGTTTATAAATACAGTTTTGTTCAACTGACATTTTCATAAAATTGCAGCAGCAGGGACCTAAGTACTCTTTAACAGCTACCTGGAATGCAGCTATTCTATGTTCTGCGTTAAGTTGGAACTATCTCCATGCCTTGTAGCCATCTAAGCAGAGATAGACTAACATCCCTTTAGGAAAGGCAAGGTGTCTGCCTAACAGAATATATAATGAATACCAAGTCTCTCAGTCCTCTAGGGAAGAGGCAAGAAGTTCCTCAGAATGTAATTTTGGATATACTGATAAAAGGACCAACCCTAAAGTTCTCCAGCAGAAGGTACATGGCTTAAAAAAATTATCCTTCAAAATTATATATGCAGACAAAGTAATCATGTCCTTTGGCCATTTTTTTTAAGTCTCAGGAAAGCACATTTGGGGTGGTTCATCTTGAAAAGCAGGCCATTCTTCTGCAGAGAAGAATTGACTACAAAATTATATACCTAGAGAACTAAATGACCTAACCTACTGCATAAGATTATAAATGACCAACCAGTTGTATGTTATGGATAGTTTGCCAAAAATGGTAACTTTCCAGCGCTTTGGGAGGCCAAGGCGGGCAAATCACAAGGTCAGGAGATCGAGACCATCCTGGCTAACACAGTGAAACCTCGTCTCTACTGAAAATACAAAAAAAAAAAAAAAAAAAAAAAATTGCCGGGCTTGGTGGCAAACACCTGTAGTCCCAGCCACTCGGGAGGCTGAGGAAGGAGAATGGCGTGAACCTGGGAGGCAGAACTTGCAGTGGGCCGAGATTGCGCTATTGCACTCCAGCCTGGGCAACAGAGCAAGACTCCATCTCAAAAAATAATAATAATAAATAACTTTCTTTTAGAGCAGTGCCCCTGAGCCCCTCTCCTTAGCAACAAAGGACATGGCCAGGTTTCTACTTAAACTCACCGTTTTTTGGGTGTTTTTTTTTTTTTTTTTTTTTTTGAGATGGAGTCTCGCTGTGTCACCCAGGCTGGAGTGCAGTGGCGTGATCTTGGCTCACTGCAACCTCTGCCTCCTGGGTTCAAGTGATTCTCCTGCCTCAGCCTCCCCAATAGCTGGGATTACAGGTGCCTGCCACCATACCTGGCTAATTTTTGTATTTTTTGTAGAGACAGGGTTTCACCATGTTGGCCAGGCTGATCTCAAAACCCTGACCTCAGGTGATCCACCCACCTCGGCCTCCCAAAGTGCTGAGACTACAGGCGTGGGTCACTGGACCCAGTCAAGTCATTGTTGATTCATGGTACCTATACCATGTACTTCCATAGAAAATATGTCTACCTTTCTATTCTCTACTTTGTTATAATGCTCTAAAAAACTATGATATATATTTTGATATATTTATATATTTCATATACATAGATTTATTATATTCATGTATTAATTTACATATAGTATATTGATATAAACATAATTATAAGTCTAAAATCTTAAATATTTATTATAAACTTTTTAAAAACATACCCTTCAAACTATTCAGCTACAGAAATATGATTGTGGACATTGTTCTTTACAGTATTCTCTTAATGAGGAACCTTGTAAGAATTTCTTTCTGGGACTAGTACACGGAATGATTACCTCTTGAACAGTCTATTTTTAAACATATAAATTCTGTAAACTATAAAATGGTCCACATTACAATTTTTCAGTTGATTGTTAGAAAGCTTCGTCTAGCTTTTGATTTATTTGTAGCAAGTGTATAGGTTTTTGTGGTATGTATTTAATATCCTTATTGTTGTTTTTCTTTTATTTCTTATGTTAAATTACTTTTAATTTAATTTCCTTTGAGTGACATTATAATTCCTTGGTGTGCTTTGGGTCCGCTTTACATCTATAATAGTGGAGTAGATATGCCCAAGATTTGTTTTCCTTTCATGGACAATATGGGGTTGAGTAACATGCTTTTCTTTACTTTAAAGAAAAATAAAAATAAAAGGAAAACTGGTATGCATTTTTAATCAAGTAACTGTTAATAACAACATAGTCTAAGATTTGGAGGAGGAGAAAATAAATATGTTGCTGCTTTAAGCTTTTATTACTTTTGAACAGAATTGAGGATGAGAGCATAAATCCCAAATACTAAAGCTTTAAAAATTAAATTAAATTGACTTCTCTCAGGATGTTGGGTTTTTTTTTTTTCGCTTGTTATTTTTATTTTACCTAGGATATCAGAGAGACATCTTATAGTGAAATAAAACTAAATTCAAAATTTTTAGTACAAATATAAACTAAATAAGCATAATATGGAATGTCTTACATCATTCTTTAGAGAATTTAGATCTTTTGTGAAAGTATTTACTCTTAATATCTTAATTTTTTGCCCTACATCATGCAGAAATTATTTTCTTCAATGCTATAACCCAAAATGCTTCTCAATAGATTTGTCATAATATTTACTATATGTTGTGGCAGCTGCTGGATCATAGAATGAATTTAATAAGGATATGAGTATGGTGATATTTTTGTAAGTCTTACAACGTTTGGTAACTTAGAGTGCTGCAGTTTACTCATAGTTTGACTAGGAATAGAAATAGTTTGAACAGGACTATTCAAATAAGTTTAATAGTAAAAGTTTGAATAAAATTATTCAAGTAAGTTACTTTAATTTCCATTTCTATATTTCCAATGTAGCAGTGCTTTAAAAGTGTTTATAGTAACATTAATTTTCTATTCCAACATGTTTTTATAGCAAATATTTGATCATGTGTAATGGTCCATGTGCTCTTCCTATTATGCTAAGTATGCTCTTACTATTATGTTAAGATTATATTTGCTTACTTCTACCAAATATTTGGTATAAAATTTTCTTTACTATCAAATATAGTTTCCACATATGTTGAATGCCATATGTGGATATGTAAATATTTTCAATTCAGAAAATGAGGTACAAAGAAGAAAACGTTTCTTTAGAGCCAGCCTTCAAATTAAAAAAGCAAAATGAGCAGCCAGCAGTCCACAGTCAAAGACACTGAGCAGAGGACACGTGGAATTAGCAATATTTCTTACTGAATTCCATGTTGTTTTAATGTATTGAATTATCCAGGGTATGGACAAATGTATTTCTAGTCATTACCTAACTATCTTAGAAAAGATGGAAACTGGTAGAGAAGAAAAAGGGAAAGAATATGAACAACGTAAAAATGGGAGAGAAAATTAACCACTTAAGAACATGCTTTAACTACTCAGAAGCAACTGTGGGGCCTTTTTATGTAATGTCTTCCAATAACTAAGAGGAGGCAGGGAAACGTTTTTTCATTAGTAAAACCGATCTTTAGACAGTAAACTGAAGTATTCTTTGCTCTTTTGTGGTGACAATAATAGTTGTGGTATGATGCTATGATTTTAAGATAACATGACTAATTCCACAATCATATAAGGAAATTTGTGTCATTCTTTTATAGTGATATTTTATTCAGTACACAAGACCCTAGTTTAGGTCTTTCACAGAGAAGTCTTCGGCTTTTGTTCGTTTGTTTGCCCCAAATCCTGTCCTTAAACAAAAATAATATGGTAGGAAAAAATTTCAAGAGTTTGTTGAGTAATCCTATGATATTTTCAACACATGCAGTGAATTTGGTCTTTTTGACCCGAGTAATCAACAAGCATGAACGTTATGCAAATGTGTTCGTCAGATCTCGGAAAGTGAAGTTATCAACTGACGTACTCTGGGTATCACTTGAAATCCAGAACCTTCAAAAA